TTGCGTTAGCTTCGCGTTCACAAGATCTTAGCCTTATAGTATAATCGCGCTCGCAGTAGGAAGGTACACACAAGAATTGTACTCTGTTAGAAAGATAAGAACATTTTTATTGTGAGTACAAAAGGTGTGTGTGTGTGTCGTGTCTGTATGCATTATTGTTATTTTCGCGTCGTGGTTCCCTTCCAGGGCCGGATCCGTGGAAGTAGACCTTCCGGACGGTCCCAGGTAGTGCTGGCTTTTTCGGCGAGCCGCCGTGAGCTCGGAACCTTTCTGGCCGTGCGAGCTTGCGTGGTGACACAGAGTGTCTGACGGTGCTAATGCGTGGATCCGGGTTCTTGGGTGTCGTCGGGATCCTGGCGACGCCCGGTATGAGTACCGGCTTCCTTGGCGACGTCTGCGTTGCCCGGTGAGCCTGGGCCGGTGACGACACCTTTTCGAGTGGAGACGAATACCGGGGTGAGAGCGGTCGGCTTTCACGTCCCAGGTTGTATTCGGAGATCCTCGCCGTGTATGAGGGTCTCTCCTTGTAGGGCTTCAGGATGCCTACCCAGGACTCGTACGGCACGGTAGTGCTCTCCTTGGAGGAGAGTTGGCTCCCAGTTGCCTTATTGCTCTGTATTGTTTGATCTCTCTAGATCGTTCCTCGGTCGAGGTCGAGAACGGAGTCTGCTCTTCTTGCGATTTCGTCCGCTATTTATACTCTGGTTCTTTAATGGTGTTTACTATCGGTGAGCTTTAAATTTCTTCGAAAATCGCGAGGCTCGCGATTCTCCGAATTCGATGCAGGTTCCGCGCTTCCGCGAATTCGTCGCGGGCTTGCGTTTACCGTTGCCCCTCTTCGGAAATCGCGAGGCTCGCGATTCTCCGAATTCGATGCAGGTTCCGCGCTTCCGCGAATTCGTCGCGGGCTTGCGTTTACCGTTGCCCCTCTTCGGAAATCGCGAGGCTCGCGATTCTCCGAATTCGATGCAGGTTCCGCGCTTCCGCGAATTCGTCGCGGGCTTGCGTTTACCGTTGCCCCTCTTCGGAAATCGCGAGGCTCGCGATTCTCCGAATTCGATGCAGGTTCCGCGCTTCCGCGAATTCGTCGCGGGCTTGCGTTTACCGTTGCCCCTCTTCGGAAATCGCGAGGCTCGCGATTCTCCGAATTCGATGCAGGTTCCGCGCTTCCGCGAATTCGTCGCGGGCTTGCGTTTACCGTTGCCCCTCTTCGGAAATCGCGAGGCTCGCGATTCTCCGAATTCGATGCAGGTTCCGCGCTTCCGCGAATTCGTCGCGGGCTTGCGTTTACCGTTGCCCCTCTTCGGAAATCGCGAGGCTCGCGATTCTCCGAATTCGATGCAGGTTCCGCGCTTCCGCGAATTCGTCGCGGGCTTGCGTTTACCGTTGCCCCTCTTCGGAAATCGCGAGGCTCGCGATTCTCCGAATTCGGTACAGGTCCCGCGCTTCCGCGAATTCATCGCGGGCTCGCGCTTATCGCTGCCCCGCCGCGTTTCTCAGAAACGCGTCGCGAGCCTCGCGGTTTCTGGAAGGACGGTGCGTAAGGTGCGCTCCGAAAACGTCCCTTTAAATAGGAGCGATGCATCTTGCGTGGAGTCTCGCTCTCTGAGACGCCACACAATATACTTTTATAACGTTTAAAAATGTAATGACATATGTCATTACAATTTAAACGTTACAAGAGTATATTGTAAATACAATCCACCACGATATCGTTACAGCGCATTGCCATCACCAGTTCCCGTACGATCGTTGAGGTTAGGTACTGAACAGCGCATAGTCATTTAAAGATGGGTGCCGTGTGACACGGGATCGAGAATCCACTCGATTCTTACGAATAAATGAAACGACATAAAATATGAAATTATAGTTTTTTTTTATTATTTAGACAAAATAATATTTCATTATACATTATTTTCTCCATTATACGTTATTTTCTCAATCTATTTTAATTAATAATGATTTTTCACCGCATTTTTCTACATTTTTAATGAAATATTATTAAAATATTAATGAAACTATAATGAAATTTTAATGAAATTGGGTCAAAATTGTGAATGCTTTTCAAAAGCATTTCAGCAAAAGTTAATTATATTTTCAATAAATTATTTCCATCAGATACAAATCTCAATTGAGATCTTACTTGCGAATTTTTGCAATAATTATATCTCGCGTGTTTATGCAACAATAAAATTAAAAATACTCTTCTTCGATCGACAACCTACACAAACGTTATATTGTTGCAACATATTCTATGTTGGTTCAGAATTCTATATTAAAATAAATCTAATATTTATTTTTTTTTCAAGAGTAGCTATTAAGAAGCATTTGTCAAAGCCTCCTAAAAACCTTTCCCCAAGATTTTTACATTACAGTAATTTCCTTGCTAACAATGAAAAATGCATGAACGTTCGAGCGAGCGAAACAGTCGTCGGGACACCGCGTATTGCTCACGTATAGACGAGACAGTGTGAGTCAAGCGTTTTCTTAGTGTGTGTCACACGTATTTTAGGACGGCATTTCTGTCCAGACGTCTTATAATGCTATTTCTCTCGTTCTTACGTTTGCGATAGAGAATGGAAGATCGCCGCGACTCCCACCACTATTCTCTCTCCAAGCGTCCGACGATCGTATACCGCTAGCTCCCTCCGCCACTCCGTGCTGCTCCTGGCTCACCTACACGCAGCAGTGTATGAGTGACGCGTTATCGTGTGCGAGTCACACGGATATTCGGACGGCATTAACGCCGGTGCGTGTACATACTCCATTTGTACATAACAACTTGGCCTCTTTATACATAACAAGTTAGCAGTCTAGTAAAGTATAGAAGTCTGTGTACTACACTTACCGTAATATTTGCACTCACCAAAGTTTATCTCATATATATTATATTCACTCACCGAAGAATTTTTTTTATCTTTCTTGCGTTAGTACTAAAGGTACTACATAGCCCGATTTTGACGTTAGGTTCTTAAAATTTTTTAATTAATTAAAATATAGACTCGTACTGCACCTCAACCTAACGTTCACTCACAATAATTTAGGCCATTTTTTTCGACATTTTTTCCCAAAAAACGCTCTGTTGCACTCTTGGGACTATTTTCCTGATTAAGAATATCATAATCATATTACGATTTTCTCTGTAATTTGCTCAACATTTGGTAAAATACAAACGTTAATTTCGGGTTCTCCGCGAGATGTCTCTACTATACTCTTGTAGATCTTTAGGCTGAATTCCCACTGAGCGCGTCACGCGTTGCGTCGTCTGCCTGTGTCACGAGTTAACCAATCAAATCCTGTAATTGGGATGATGCGTGCGCGACGCACGACGCACTTGTTCCAATGGAACGATTTGATTGGTTAACTCGTCACGTAGCAGACGACTCGACGCGTGACGCGCTCAATGGGAATTCAACCTCAAGCCAGCAGCATACGATGCTTGTTTCGTGCTGATTTGCTTGTGGATGGAAATATTCTGTTCTAATTCGTGCATTTCTGAAGATGGGTGGAAATGCATCAATCAGAACAGAGTATTTCCATCCAGCAACTAATCTAGCACGAAACAAGTATCGTATGCCGCTGACTTTACACCATGGTATGTAAGCCCATTCTACAATGCGTGAACATGGTTGTAAGTGGTTGTAAGTGATTACGACAACCAATCAGAGTAAAGCAATCAGTGAATAAAACATTCGGATTGGTGACTCTTACGTTCACGACTACGCTTACGCAATTGTAGAATGGGCTTTAGACATCAACACAGTGTTCACATTCCATTAGTAGCGTCCTTCCCGAACGCATCTCTAGAGATTGCTAGTGTATGTTATAATTCATCTGTGAGATGTGATACACGTGCTTTCTCGTTGTTACAAATCTTGTTTGTTTTGTATAGACAAATCTTATAGAAGCTTTACGAATTGTACACATTCGCAGAAATATTCTCAGAGTATTTTTTATATTAATCAAGAAGTATCAAGAAATACTTGTAAGAAAGATGTCTGAAAACGCTTTTAGTGAAAATTCGTTCAGAGGTTAGCAACTTATGTTATCTCAACATAAACTTTAGAAATACATCTTAGACGTCTCAATTATTATTTGTTGACATATATTATGTTTTTCCTTATATTCTTAAATAGAAATTATTGCATATTACAGATTATTATAAGGCTGAAAATTCGGACGACGAGGAAAACAACAACGACTTGGCGAACCGATTATATGCCGAAATTTATTATCCATCGAATAACGAAATCGAATTAGGTGCCAATGTTTCCTCAAATGCTGTACCATTATTCAGTTGCATTATAAAGGAATCAATAAATGGACAAGAAGGTATAAAATATAACTTCAATGATAAGGTGATTCCAGAGCCTAAAGTTACCAGAGGTAAGTAAATTATGATACAGTAAAATATAATAACTATATTAAACATAGTATGATATAAAATTATTATAAAGTAAAATATATAGGCCATGTTTGCTTTGGATGCATACTTGTTGTAAACATCATTTTATTTTTATCATTCGTTACATGCGGAAAGAAGATAGAATGATAGTCCGTAAACACCCAAAGTGAATACAACTATAATATAATAGTATAGGATGAAATATAAGATATATGAAATATTGCAATCAAAATATTTATATAATATAACATCACAAAATGAAAAGTTTCATATAGAAGCTTGAGAATGTTTTAATATATTATAAATATAAAGTGCAATAGATTCTCAGGTATTCGTAAGTTAACTACTATATTGCAAATCTCATCAGGTTAGACATCTCAATATCCTGTATTGATAATATATATACTTTCTTGTTTGTATTTTATATCTTTATACATACTTAGTAAAGTCACTACTGATTATATAGATGAAATGTTTACTTGTAAACAAATGATAGGCTCACAATGTCCAGATGTGGATGATATGGTAGTCAATGTATTGACTAAAGATTCTATTTTAGAAATGATTCTATGATGTCCATTTATTAATTTCTTTTTAATGCAACTGGATAATGGTACAGCATTTGAGGAAACATTGGCACCTAATTCGATTTCGTTATTCAATGGATAATAAATTTCGGCATATAATCGGTTCGCCAAGTCATTGTTGTTTTCTTCATCATTTGAATTTTCAGCCTTATAATAATCTGTGATATACAATCATTTCTATATAGAATCATCATTCAAGATAGTAAATTACTATTTTAATGTTAATTGATGTTAATGCTTATTGATGTTTATTGGTACTAAATTTTTATAGGACAAGAGGAACCAGCTGCTGAAAAAATTATCCGGACTAATAAAAGAAATTTAGCTGAGCAAGAAACAAATAATATTGCAGGTTTGTTACATGTGATTCTATAATACATAAACATAGTAAATACTCACAACAGAATTTTAACTAACTTTTCATTTACAGAAGTACGGAAAAATGAGGAAATTTCTCCTAAGAAGCACAAATCTGCCAAACAGCCAAAGATTAAGCACCGGAAAAGGTCATATAAAGAAAGTTTTGTTTCAGTAGACGAGTCAGAAATAGACACTAAATACAGCATCGTACAAAAAAAAATGAAACCAGAAATTCAGTCAAGAAATGCACAAGAAGGAACTTCGGAGGAGTCCGACTCTGAGTCTATCTTGGAGGTGCCAGTATCACCGAAGCCGATGCCACTTCTCATCAACCTGCAAGACTCCGACGATGAAGGTACTGAAAGTTCAATAGACGAGGATGATTTGCTCGAGGGAAGATTGCGTGGTAAGAATGCATCCAAAGATAACTTGAGAATCGTGGACTTGACAGCCTCATCTAGTTCAGAAGAGGATATAATAGAAGTGTCGCTTGATCATCAAGACATAATTGCCGAAAGTACTATTGACGAGGACGAATTTTACGAAAATCTTCAAAAGTATAGGACGCTTAGGAGGGGTGCTTGGAGCATTAACGAAATCAAAGAATTGTATAAGAGTGCGGTGCAAGACAGGATAGAGACGTCAGTCGAAGGTACGAGTTCGAAAAAGAGTCTATCACAGGACAAGTCGAAAACGAATAACCCGGATGATCTTTGCGCGTCTCTGGAACTGTGTCAGACATCGCAGGAACAAGAAATAGGAATCGGGGAGCAAACGCAAGAGACGCAGCAAAACGTTTGTAACGTTCTACAGACTGGTGAGACTGACGAAACAAAGAATACACGTATGACGCTTGTGTATGACATTAGATATGCGATGCGAACATTGGAGAACACATTATTGGAGGTATCGTGTGGTACCAACAATAATTTAGTGATGAGCCAAAAGAGACCAAGTGAAAGCAAAAATAATGGAGGAGGTGAAGAAGGCGATGGAAGTAGGGGAACAAAGAACAACAGTTCCGCGCGAAAGCAACAATGCATTATTCAGCAAAACAATCAGCTGAACGTTATACCATTAGCACAGAGCAGCGTTCAAGAGAAACGAAATTCTTCATTCTGGGACGATTATTTTTTTGCACCGTTACCAAAATCGCTGAAGAAGTTCTACAATGACCCGCGCGGCCAAGAAAACTTTAATATCGAAGAGATTCAGCGCGCCATGCCGAAAGATCCAAGAAGATGGGTGGTCTTGGCGGATGACATGATAGGGCTCATACCGGCGAGGCGACCCCGCAGATATTGGTATAGCGTCGAATGTAGTTATTGCTATCGAATCGGTCATTCATACCAATACTGTCCGGAACTAAAAAAAAATACGTGTTGTCGCATGTGCGGCAGACGAGGCCACATCATGTGGCATTGCCCACAAAAGATATGCCTGACCTGCGGTAAGAAGCAGAAATCCTTTATTCATAATTGCGAGCATTGTCGCACCTTGTATTGCACGATGTGCTCCTCGGTGGGGCACAAAAAGGAGCATTGTCCCGATCTCTGGCGACGATACCATTCGATAACACGAGAGATCGATGGTGTGCCGCGGAATCCAGGTAATACGATGAAACCGGCAAGTCAGCTGCACTGCTGCAATTGTTCCAAGCGCGGCCACGAGTCTTCTATGTGTAAGGAATATCAATCCACACACTTCCTTACTCCGGCGTTCGTGACGAATTACACAGAAGGACCCGTGTATGAGTTGAGAAACGTTCCAGAAAGAATCTCGAAGAACACTAAGGATCCGTATGTACCGTCGTTTAAATCGAAAAATAATAAAACACCGCAACAAATGCAAGAGAACACGCCGGCAATGCAAACGACACCGCTGCCTCCCGACACATCATCATCATCGAAAATTCACATAACTGCAAAAACTGGCGAGCAATATGCGCAAAGCACACAAAAACAAGTGGTGTTATCGAGATTTACTAAATTAAAGTTTGTTAACGTTATATATTGCTGCGGAAATTTTCGCTCTAAAAAGAACGCGCGAATGTTGGTGACCAATCTTTCTCAGCTGAATGAGCTGAATCCAGAAGCGAAGCAGTTCTTGCAAAATAGATTCTCGTACGGCATTTCCCGCCCAATCTTCCTGAGGAAGTTGCGTAAGATAATCGAGTTCGAGATAACGATAGGTTTACTAGCCGGCAAAAAGTCCGAAATAATAGTACAGCTAATTGCGCCGGAAAACTGCATTTACATGTTACTCGATCTGCTGCTCTACTGGCTGAATCTTCCGTTCATAGAGAAGAAGTCCGGATTGGACATAAATTTACCCATGAATGCCAATCAGATGAGAGATTTTCTCAAAGCGTTAAACCTTCATGGCACGTCCACAGAGATCAAGCATCCATTTAAACTTTACAATGTCATGAATAGTTTGACGAATAAGTTAGGTAATACGTATATCAAAAACAAGGAATATTTTTACAACCTGATAAATTTGTGGGACATACAAAAGAAACTTTTGAAATATATCCACACTCATCCATTACATAGTTTTCACTATAGTAAGTTGTGTAGATACATGAATACATTGGATGAACGGTTCCCATCAAACAAACAACTTGATACTTTCGCTTATTTAGATATTCTTATTAGTTACAATAACGTATTTACACCTCATACACCACCGAATTTACTAAGTATACTGAAAGATATGAAGCTACCTAGGATAGAGAAACAGAGTTTGATACAAGATCAGGAATTCCTATCAACACATAAACCAAATTCTGATGTAAACTCCTGGGTACCATTTACAACGTCATCTTCATGCACGTTGCAGGAGATCGACACCGTTGCAAATCCCTTTGCATTTACTTTCGTTCCGAACGTGCCTGACAATATGTCAAATGTTATCGATATAGCAAACGTCAATATTTGCCAGCCAGGAACTAACAACACAATAGAAAACCAACATTCGAAGGATATTTTACCGCTCGATGTTGAGCCGGTATCAAGTCAATTGAGGAATTCCCAAAAAAAGAATAGTCAATGGTCAATAGTTAACGTAAACATTAACACTAATTTACCGGTAACTGAGCCAAATGTGAGTGTAACAGGTGCAAGTAATCAAAGTAAAAAATTGTCGGCGAAGGCAAAACGCAAATTGGCACGCCAAAAACACAAACAATCAAAAGAGGTGCTTCGACAGGAAGCAGAGAAACTCACGAGACAGGCTCGCGCGTATCAACTACCCTACATGGTAAAAGTGGCGGAAGATTTGTTAATGAAGTGTAAAAATAAGACACTCAAGAAAAAAGATGTTAGAAAAGTTAAGAAAATGATGGAAATGGAAGATAAGCATCGAAAAATAATTAAACAGTTTTGCAGCCACCTGAATTGAAAGTTCTTTCGTGACGATTTGTTATTTGTGTATGCCATCTGCGCCCTGTTCATTCAGCGTTTATTCAATAACACTGTATAATATTTTATAATGATAATTTTATCTGCCTGTGCGTATGAATATACATTTTTCTATTACATATGTTTTGAGATAACTACATCGTAAGTTTCTTATTGCTGCTTTTCTTATCGAAATTGTCGTAATTTTATAGGAATGGCTAATAATTCTCAGAATTGAAATTATCAGAAGTACATAAGTTCAACCATTACACTGATAGTTTCTTTGGGACTGTCGCAAAATAATAAAGTATTTTGTAATAATTTTATTTGTATATGCAAAAAGAAACATTTTATTAGAGATGTTAAATAAACATATGTTGAGAAAGTAAATCAAATATTGCTTTCTTTTTAATTGAAATTATCAAAAATTTACAAAAAAAATATATATATATATATATATATATATATATATAATTGTCAAAAATACAACAGATTTATTAAATTTATCACTCATTTTGTAACAGACATTCTAGGAAAAGACGAATATATTATTATAATAGTAAAAAAACTGAAATATTTAATGTAATAAGTAAATTATCAACATCAAAGCCTCTACATACAACAATTATTTATTTTTATATGAGCAGACAGTATAGTTTTGAGTATTCAAGAGTATATCGTCTGTTCATCTCTTTAAATACATATTATAAATTATAATTACAATTATATGCAAATATTACAAATTGTCTTTATACCGCTATATGTTTAAATACAATATTATGACTTTATTAGATATTACAAATAAAGTGTTTATTTGTTTTAAGAATTTCAATGTTATATACATATGATGTCCTGGGAGTTGATCACGTACTAATTCAACTTAGTCAAAATTACATAATTGAATGAATTTACTAAAATATTTACAATTTTATCGGTCAACATCTAATGAATTTGCTGACTTTTGCAATTTTCACCACATTGTATTAATACACAATCGACTCCCTTTATATAAATGTGAATATTATCGCGCTCATGCCCGTTTTATTCTAACGATATTGACCAATCATATTTCTCGTTAATAAGAATTGATAGATGCGATTGGTCAATTCCGTTGGAATAATCAGTCAGTTAAGTTAACTGAAGTTGGTAGAAACGGGCATCAGTCAATCCGCAAGCGCTTGAATGCGCTGTTTGCACATTTCTGATTATTTAGGACTCTAATTTCCAAAAGTTCTCGATAAAACTCTCGATAGATTGTCCAAATTTTTTTCTCTTGTGTTTATTACTGCAGCTGCTGATTAAAAAGTAATTTTTCAGTCTACTGTGCCTCTCGTCCTTTTTGAAAGGAATGTATATATTTTAAAGGTCTGCAGGAATCACAGTGAAAACCTCTCGTGAAGAGCCGCGAGATAGGCAAAAAAATATAACGTAGGAAAAGCAAAATTTATCAAATTGTAGATACTATAAAAAGTGTAGCCAAACTGCACTAACTTACAATTGTCGAGTCCGCGTGAGCGATGCATTAGTGTGTATAGATATATAATTACTCGCTACACGAGGTTTCCAAAGTCACATCAGGATCCAAACACATCCATAGTTAAGCGCACTATGAATTAAAATTGAAATTTACAACGGGTGCGTCTACTATAACCACTTAGTGAGCTCTTGCACCTGATTGGCATATTCCTTTAGATCTCAAAATATACATCAATCAGATGTAAAAGTTCACTGACCGATTGTATTAGGACCTTAACTTAGTTTCCGCCCGCAAATGTTAGATGGCAATGCAAACAGTTCTAGTAGTCATTACTAACGAAACAGGTAGTTTGTGATTAATTTTGACATTTCTCGATAACATTCAGTCAGCATACATAATTATTTTCCTAAACAACAATTTCTTTCGCTTTGTGAAAAATGGAACGCGATAAAGTGTTTTTTCGACATGTGCTTTTGCACTATTTTGATTTGAAAAAAAGTGTAGCAGAAGTTCATCGATTACTTGAAGAAGGTTATGGTGATCGAGCTCCATCACATACAACATGTAAAGAGTGGTATAGACGATTCAAAA